GTTTACTTGTAAGTTTCAAGGAGGGGCTGCAGCTCGCGCCTCTCACTGGGATGATGTATGAACTCACTCTAATTTGCTTCTGAATCAATAAACTTACTATTATTCATCAAAAAAAAGAAATTGTGGAAGCTTGTGCAGATATTTTAGGTTGTGGCTTCTGATTACTCCCTTGACTCCATCTGAAACCCCCCTTGGGTGCTAACTGCTAAGCAGTTCTCTACAGGTGCTTGGAGTCGGCTGACTGAGAAGATGGATACTATATTGGTGGATTGAAAGTCAGAACAATAACTTCCTGACCTTCTTGGGGCAGATCACACTAATTAATAGGTCTGTACTCCAGTTTACTGCTACTCACTTCTACAAAAGCCTGCTTTTGAGGCAACTGGTAAAAAGATTCAAAGAATTTTGAAATAAAAGATGTAAAATGAGAAAGTTCCATCATGCTAAGTGAAAGGGGGATATGGCATACTAACATTGTGAAGGGCTTGGGCTTCAAGTAATGACTAATGAGCAGTATGAAGAAAACCTTATTCACAAATTCTCCGTGAAGGTATTTCAAAAATTGACTCATTAAAATGGAAGTGGCTGTTAATAGGGGGATTCCACTCTTGGTTGGACAATTAGACCACTGAGATGTAAACAGCTCTTAGAAGGTCAGCCTCTAAAAAGGTTACATAAAACTTTTAAATGGACCAAGGCTTGAGGAAGAAACAGGATTCACTTTTTGGGAGGACGATTAGAGTGATTTGGAATTCTTTATCACATTATCAATGTTTAGACAAAGTTGGTGAAACCATTTATGAATTTCTTTAGCCTCATGGGTGATCCAGTGATTTGGAACCCAGTTTTCATATGCCCCTTCATTGGATATGGAAATTGGTAAGGCATCATCCTCTTCCAAAAGTCATAAGGTACTCCATTTCCCCAAAGAAAAAAAAAAGTTCAATGATTAGGAGGATAGAACCTAATCACAAGTGTGAGCAAAGTATTTCCATCCAGTGATTTAAAAGGCCAACCTAGGCACTCAAACAAGGCGCATTTTAAAGTATGCGGCTCACCTAGGTCCCAGGCACAACACTTTCAAAAGGCACAAGGGGCTTGGTACAAAGGTGGCTCGTAGAATCAGGAATGTAAGATGTTTTACATCAGATTAGCTCAGTGATTTAAAAGGCGTGCCTAGGTGCACAAGCGAGGCACATTTTGGGGTATGCGCCTCACCCAGGTCCTAGGTGCACCCCTTTCAAAAGGCGCGCGCCTGGTGCGCCTAGGCATGCACCTAATGCGCCTTGCACCTTAGCCCAGGCGTGCGCCTTTTAAAAGGGGTGCTTTGAGAACCCCCTATTTGCTAATGTTGTTCATTCATTCATTGCAATAAAATATCTTCTTAAAAGGCAATGAAAGTTATATAATCATTATTTTTTATGTGAGAAATAAGAATTTCAAACCCTAACATAGACTTGTTCGGGCTTGCCTCGAGAGGCGTGGTACAAAGGCGACTCATAGAATCAAGAATGCAATATGTTTTACATCACATTAACTACTTGAAGCAATGCAATTAAGGAAAAAAAGAGATTGTGGGTTTTACATGCTTGAAAATGCTTTATATGTTTGCTTTTATTTTTAAATTTTCATTTGAATACACTTTACATGTTATGTTTATGTATTTTAATTTTAGATAATAGGTTTTTTAAATCATATATTTTAAAATTTAAGTTTATATTTTTATTAACATTATGTTTAATATTTTTTGCATTTTTTTAATTTTTGGCTATTTTTTGAATTTTCTGACTTATTTATTTTTTAGCTTTTTTTTTGTAATTTTGCGCCTTTCTTAAAAAGGCGCACACCTCGCCTTACGCCTTGCGCCTCAAGCGCAAATTTGGCCCTTGCACTTTTTTTGTGCCTTGCGCTTTTAAAACATTGGATTAGGTATTTGAAGTAATGCAATTGAGGAAAAAAAGAGATTGTGGATTTTACATGCTTGAAAATGTTTTATATGTTTGGTTTTATTTTTAAATTTTCATTTGAATACACTTTACATGTTATGTTTATGTATTTTAACTTTAGATAATAGGTTTTTTAAACATTTATTTTAAATTTTAAGTTTATATTGTTTTATTAATATTTTTTGGCATTTTTTGTATTTTTGCACCTTGCTTCGAAAAAGCAAGTGCCTTACCTTGCACCTCGGGCGCAAATTGCCCCTTGCACTTTTAAAACAATATTTCCATCTTCCTCCCATGGAAGAGCCATGAAGGCTTTTGCATTGAAGTACATAACAATTGCATTTCACACGCTTCTATCCATAATGGATTGGTGGAGGCTCCTATGTGACTTGAAACTTTGGGTAAGGTTGTCATGGTTAACAATCTCAACCATAGGGGCTTCAAATCCCTAAGAGGTGTTCTGCATGTGAGGTGGATGAAGAATCCTATAGATCACTTCTTTGGCTTTTATTGGCACTTTGGAGCTCTGGTACTTCTTTTTTTTGGTTGCTAAGCTCCCTTCAATCAATTGGATGCTAAGCTTTTAGCCTCAGATTTATTTGGGTTCAAGGCTATCTATCCTTTTGATGATGATGTCATTTGTGATATGTTGGATTGTATTAGAGAAAGATTGGTGTTTAACAAATCTAATCCTTGAGCTAGTTGAAATTTCTCATTTAAGATGTAAAAAGAGCTTTAAGTATAGTGAATACAATACATTACGCTTTTTCTCAAAAGAAAAAAAAAAAAGAGCTTTAAGAAGAAATTTCTCATTTAAGAGGCTTTTCAGAGAGAGGCATGATTGAAAAAAAAAATAAAAAAATCAGTTAATTTAATTTTGTTATATTAATTGTGAAGATATCTATAAACTAAATAACAAATCAAGACTTATATGTTACAAATTCATACATATGCCATAAAAAAATAAAATAAAATAAAATAATGGGATTACCTTGAGCACGAAGCTTCAGACTCATTTTCAGCAGCATTTTGACTCCTTGACTGCTCAAAAGAAGAACACCACTGTAATTAGGTTCTTGTAAGTTGTAATGAACTAATGATCTCATTGAATGCATAAAACCAAGTAAAAAGATAAAAACCAAATAAGAAACCTTCCTATTCAATATCAGCAAAATTAGGCATGTTTTCTGCAAATTATTTGAGATGTAATGTACCTCTAGAACACAAATCTGTGCAACATTATCACGAAGTCCAAGCTTATTGAACTCAATGAACTCCTCATACAGTAACTTGAATCTAGTACATGGAGAATTAGAATTGTAGTTAGAGTTAAGCACTTCTATTTCTTGAAGGTAACATATGAAATCACATAAATTCAGTAAAATTGGCATCAGAGAGCCACAACAATACAGCTTAATGATGTCAGTTACTCCCTTCGTTAAAAACACAGAAAAAAGATTAAAAATAAAATTACATTACACCATAAAAGCTTCACTGGCCAACAGTAACATAACATATAATACACCCTCAGAACCATCACAATCAAGAAACAATCACATTATAGATGGTCACATCCATCTGTTTTATGTACCTATGTGACAGATGGTTTTCATCAATCCTGGACCAAATCTCAGAAGAAGGCTGAGGGGCCATTTGATAACAGCTGAGGATGCTGAACTGAAAAGTTTAATTGCTTTGTCTATTAGTGAATAAGTTTTTCAAGGAGATGGAGATTGTGGGCTCCTTAATGGCTGAAACTGAAGTTGGTAGATTACTATACCCTTGAAAATTTTAATATTTGATTATTTTACCAACTAAAAGACAAAGCAATAAGTCTTTCAGTTCAGCAACTTCAGCCTTTATCAAACACCCCCGTGAGAAAGATGGAGAAGATTATCTATGCCAGCAATACAACACCTGAGAAAACATGAGACTTAATTTCTAATAATCCAACCACTGGATTAGCTTGAAATTCAGATATTTGAAGCTTAAGAAGTGCATTAGATACCCTGTATATCTCAAGCTAATCAGACTACAGGAAGAATTTCATCAAAGGAGGTTAATCCAGCTGTTAATAGTTGGTCATAGCCAAAGTAAAATACTTGACCATTGGGGCCCGCATCTAGGGTTACATCAGCATTGAGTATTTGCGGTTCAAGTTTCATGTTAATTGGGCCATGGTTAATGAGTAATAGTAGTTCTTTTGGTAGGGAAATTGAGGTCAGTTTTTTTGTTTCCTTTCTTCCTCATTTATTCAATATTTTTGATAAATAACATGTATTCATTAAAAGAGAAAGAAGAAACACCTTACTGCTCAGCAAAAATAGTAGGCAAAACAATATAATGCAGCTTCTTTCAACAAAGCTTCAGGAACCAAACAGTACAAAAAGTTACAACTGGGACCTGAGCACCCCTACAACCCCAATCAAGTAGGGGTGCTCACAGTTCAACCGAACCATGGGCCTATTTTCCAAGCCAAACCAATACCACCAGTTTTTTGAAAATCGTGAACCGAAACTGAACCAAAGCCAATCGATTGACCAGTTGATCAGTTCAGTTTTCAACCAGTTCGGTTCATGGTTTTTCAGTTTTTTATATTTATAATATATAATGAATAAATATATAAACAATAATAATACTAGAAATACATATAATATATTATATCGTAAATAATAAATAATATACTATTTATTATAAAAATATATTTATATATAATGCATATATATTCATTTATAATATATAGATAATATAAAATATATATACTGTTGGTTCGGTTAACCGCCGATTTTTTATATTGGTTAACCAAAATCAAACCTGTACCTTTGGTTTTTCAAAAATATCAAACCAATCAGTTTGATTAACCGGAATTTTTTGTTTGGTTTGGTTCAGTTTTTGGTGACCACCCCTACAATCAAGTACATCCCTCTTCATTTCTTCAATATAACCATACAGGGGTATTTTGGGGAGTCTAATAGATAAAGCATGATGTCTTTTAGTAGTTTCCAACAAGCAGGGGTAATTTTGTAGAGTTTTTAGGAGAGTATAAAGGTTCTTAACACTCTTTATGCCACTATCCCCATCTTATTCAAATTGAACTGATTTTCTGTTTTAGCAATGAGGTTTTATTTTCTTCTACTGTTCTCTTTAGTTGCCTGCTATTGAGAACTGATTTCTCTGCTCCCAATCTACTTTTATTGATTGCTGCAAGAAATCTTATCCTATATATGTGTGCTAGTTTGCAATTTCTGGTTACATTACTATGCATTTGTGTGCACTTAAATAGGCAATGCATATAAACAGAGGGTTCTTATATCACGTGTGAAGCAATGAGAACTCCAGATTTTTTTATCTGTAACAAGATTAGGTGCATCAACTAATATGAAAAAGTTGGCAAATAAGAGTACAAAAACCTTTTCTACCAAGCTGTGTAAGGACCAACATCCCCAATATAGTCAGCCATTTTCAAGCCCTCCTCTAGCTAGACAATCATTTAGGGAATTAGCCAATCTCTGTAACCATCTAAATAGCTGTCCATTCTTGAAGTCAGCAACCTAGCCTCCTAAGGCTGCATTTGGTAAGAGTGCAAAAAATGAATGCACTGATGTGAATGCAAATCTTTCAAGTAGAAGGATGCAAACCCAGTTCGGTTTTGCAGTCATAAATTTACAGTGTCTTGTTTAGTTGTGATGGGTTCAAACATGAATCCCATGGCCAGAACCAACCAATTTTACATTCACCAACTTTCAGTGCAAAAATTGCTTTTTTGGAAACTAACCTCTCTCATTTTGAGTGCAAAAACAGTTGGGAAAAAAAAAACAAATTTACTTTCATTTTCAGTACAAAAACTTGTTCTTAACAAATGCCTGCAAAACTGAACCAGAGTGCACATTTTCTTCAGTTCTGCATTAGCAGTCTTACCAAACGCAGCCTAATGAATGTTGAATAGTCCACAGACAACTGGATTTAGTAGCTTCAAACCAATCGCTGCTAAAGTCTTTCTCCACCTCACAATTTTTACTTCCAACCCTATAACAAGGATAATATTTATGCACTAACTAGTGTTGCTTCCATAATTGGTACTGAATATGCTGCTACCAACTATACCACTGAACCCTGAAAGCTCCTACTTCTCTAAAACGCCCTAGGTTGGCCAGAGAGCACCCATCAGAATTCAGTTTTACTCAAGTCTTGTAGATGCAAATATCATGCTACTCCTACTATGAGTGAGCAACTCTGGCAATGGGCTCCCATCCTCTTATAATGAATGCTCTGAGCTAAGGTCCTTCGTGGTGATCCAGTAGGCTATTCTTATAGTTATTAAGTTAGCGATATCTCCAACTTCCTTTTCTTCTCACGAAATATTCTGGAGTTCCACTCTTCACAAATATTCCACAATATTCATGCTCCTTTGCCTACTAAATGTCCCTATTTCCCTCTAGTATTCACCCCAATGCCCCATCTTCTAATTCCAGAAAAGATTCTCATTTTGTTTCACAGATCCTAAGATTCACAATTTTCCTTCTTGAGTTTTTGATCAAAGAAACTTACATGTTTTATCATCTCATAGAATATAACTAAGGTAGGTCGCTCCGTAAACCCACATATTCTTATTGACCATATTTGTACAGGACAAAAGTATAAGCATCCCTTGTTTGAGGGAATCATTCTTGGTGAAAAGGCAAAAGTAGACCTACTTTAATGGCCAGAGGAATCATTTAACAAGGATATCTGGAGTTATGCCCCAGAGGGTATTTATTCTTCTTACCACAAGGGCTCCACTTATCAAAGTTAGGGGGCTTCATAAATTATATTCTCCAAGATACTAACATCTTTGCCAATTTTTTATTTAAAACAACAATTTATAAATCTCTCCTGTACACAAAGACAAGTACCTCCCTTTTTTTTCCGATATGAAATCAAACAGATAAGACCTTGTACCTACATGGCTCAAACTCAGAATGAAACTCATCTAATTGATCACAAGAACACCTCATTGTGCAATGATCACAACTTGGCTTGTTGCCTTACTAGATCTTCTAATGCTATATGAACCAGCATTTAAAGTTGAAAAAGTACTTTGAACATAGAGATAATAGCTATTGAACTTGGAAAAAAAAATTATAAGATAGGGGTGCAAGTCGGTTAGGGGTATATCCAAATTTGATCCTACAAAAACCCAGGAGTTCAAATTCAATATGATATTTGAATTCAAATGTGATTCAATTACATATCAGGATATCTGGTTCACTGGTTCAATTTGAAGATCAATAAATTTGTATAAAACTAGTATAAATCCACAAAAATAAGTATAAAATAAGAAAATGTATTAATTTTTTATATTATAAATAGACTTGTCCAAATCCCAATTCCCATTTATTGCCAAGCAACTTTAAATTAAAATTCTTAAAAGAGATATATATAATCAAATAAGATCGGATCTAGCAATATCCACTAATCCACATTGATCGGATTAATAGCATATCATATTTTCAAACCTGATTTGATTCAATTATGGCTAAATAGATATCCATATCCAACATAAATGAACCAGATTCAAATTCAAATTGGATTAAATCCAAACTATTTGCATCCCTACCCCCAAACTCTAACCCTGACCAATCTGATAACATCCTGTTGGTTCAGGATCAGGCTTGGATTGGGCCATTTTCTCACTTCTTTTTCTTTTACCAAAAAAAAAAAAGGTTCTCACTCCTCAGACTTAGAATTAGTCAATTAAGGTTAACTAGCTTTAGTCTATACGGAGTTATGTGCATGTCTGTGCATAGGAACAAAGTTGTGGTGCTTTAAGATAATGTTACACTAAAAAAAAAGAAAAAAAAATATTAGCTTTTAAACTTAACCCCCAAACTCTAACCCTAAACCAATCCATAACATCATGTTGGGTTCAGGGTCAGGCTTGGATTGGGCCATTTTCTCACTTTTTTCTCTTTTACCAAATAAGATAAGAAAATGTTCTCACTTCTCGGGTTTAGAATTAACCAATTAAGGTTAACTAGCTTTAGCATATACATACATATGTGCATGTTTGTGCATGGGAACAATGTTGTGGTACTTTAGAAAATCATCATCATCATCCAAGCTTTATACCAAGTCCCAACTATATGGGTCAGCTACATGAATCCTGTTTCGCCAATCCGTTCTATTTAAAACCATATCCACTGTTAAATTAGTAGTGCTTAAATCACTTCTTATTAATTCTACAGTTCTACACATGTCCTCTTTGATCTACCCCTAGCTCTTTTAGCCCCTTCTACTTGTAATAAATCACTTCTTCTAACTGGAGAAGTGGAGCTGTTGGTGGTCCTCTATGCACATGACAAGCCATCTTAGCCTACTCTCTCTCTCTCTCTCTCTCACACACACACACACATTTCCTCACTTATTGGAGCTATTCCTAGGTTTCAACAGATGGCTTCATTCCTGATCCTATCCTTTCTAGTTTTTCCACTCATCCATCTTAGCATTCACATTTCTGCTACACTCATTTTCTCAACATGTTGTTTCTTTTTTTTCTTTGATAAATGAAGAATTAATTTCATTAATCAAGCATAATAGAACTTTACAAGCTTCCCTTGGAGAGGTGCAAGGTGCCCAAACTGATATAGATCTGTTTTTCTTAATCGAGGAATGGACTATAACATTCCAATTCCTCCAGAAATCATCAAAGGAGAAGAAGCTGAAGGAATCCAAAGATTTCAGCCAATGAATAGCCCTGGTTAGGGTGCAATCCTTCACTGCTGTAATGGATCTCTCCTTGTCTTGGAAGGTTCTTGCATTTCTTTCTTCCCAAATGGTCCACAAAGTGGCTGCTCTAAGGCACCTCCACATATTTCTTCCTCTTTTTGTTGGCCAAACAAAGGTAGAGGGAGAAAATACCAACTTAACTTCTGTTGGCTGGTTCCATCTGCATCCAAACAAACTGAACATGTTGTTTCTTGACTGCCCAATACTCTGCTCCATACAAAATAGCTGGCCTTAAAATTGTTTTATAGAATTTTATTTTTGTCGTGGTATCCTCCTATCACACAAAGGTCCAAATGCACCCCTCCATTTTGCCCAACCTGCTTTAATTCTCTAGGTGGTATCCTCCTCAACCTCTCCTTTGTTATGAATTATTGAACCAAGGTACCGGAAATGGCCACATTGAATTATCTCTTGCTTACCAATCTTAAGGTTATCCTGACTTACTCTCCTATTATTACTAAACTTACATGTCATATACTCTGTTTGAGTCCTATTTATTTTAAAACATCTTGTTCCTAGGGCATTTGTCCATAAGTTTAATTTTGAATTTTGCATTTAATCCTTCATTAGTTTCATCCATTAAAACAATGTTGTCCGCAAACAACATGCACCATGGAACTTGGTGAAGACCCATCGTAATTGTAAAATCTGAAGTCTCTCCGAGTGGTATTCTAAATTGGTTGTTGCCCCTTCATACATATCCTTAATTAGGTCTATATACCTATTTTGAAACCCTTTCTTTTCCAAGACCCACCATATTATCTCTCTAGTAACTCTATCATAAGCCTTTTTCTAGATCAATGAACACCATATGAAGACATTTCTTCTTCTCTCTAGGCAATGCTATACTAAAAAGGGAAAACATTAGCTTTTAAACTTGATATTTATTTATGCAAAATGAAGACACATCAAATTCAAGTTGGGTCAAGTTGCACCAGGCCACACCCCTACCCAACCTGAAGTTAAGTTGGGTTAATTTTTTCAACCCTAACACTAACTTGACCTTCAACTCAACCCAACCACACTTTAAGATTGTAAACCAGCCCAAGTTGAAATCCTACCATAGGAGTTTGCAAATAAGAGTGTGAACAAGGACTGGATTTCTAAGGAAGTACTAGAATCATTAAGTATTGTGTTCATTATCCATACATTACTTTCTGTAGTGGCCACTTTGTGTTTGTGTGTGTATTCATATCCAGTCCACTCCTCCCAAGACCCGAAATATTTGGGACCAAAATTGGGTAAGAACACACGTAAGTAGCTGAAAGTCAATAGTAGTAGATGCAACTAGATAAACCCGCAAACAAAACAAAATTCAATAATCTATGGCGATATTCAGAGATAAGAGGCATACAACTACAAATGAAGTATTTTACCTTGATGTTCGCCAAAAAATTGCACATCCATCAACTGCAGTGCCAGTTCGCATCTGCAGATTCACAAAACCATTTTTGTGGAAAATACATCTAGAAAAAAAAAAAAAACATAAAACAATAAACACCATTAAACTGACCTTCCAAATGCCTTCATATCCTTGGAGCTTTAGCTCCTCCTCTAAGTCATGAAATCTATCAACCTCCTGAAAGCGAGAAGAAGAAAAACATTGACAACAAAACTTGTATAATAAGAAAAAAAAAATCATGAGGTAAGAATACATCAAAGGTATTACAAAAGATATTTGAAGTCAACAACCAATAGGTGGAAAAAAATCCAGAACCACAAGAATAATAGCACGATTAAACGGTTATTATGGACAAAACTAAAAGTAGGAAGGAAAAAACATGAATATGAAAAGCAAATAAAACATTAACCCCTTATTAATGACAAAAGAAATTGTGTTACCTGCATGCAGTGCTTTAAAAGTGAGAAGTGCAACTAAAATGCAACAATGAATTCCTAGAGGTTGTGGCACAAGACAAGGCATGCTTCTAAACAAAGTAAAGCACTATTTTTGGAAAAAAACAATAAAAAGTAAAACTTAATATACAAAGATATGCAAATCTAAATTCTTGAAGAAATAAAATATTTCAAAATCCCTATTTAGCTCAATTGGTTAAAACATCATGTTACTAACATGTATATTGTAGCCTTTTGTACATCTAAATTCTATATAGGCTAAACTATTTAAACATTGAACATCATACTACAACCTACACTGTAGCAAATTGCCTATTCAGCATCAAATTCAAGGTCAATTCATTGAACTAAGCAACAAGCCAGGTAAGGAGAACCTAGGTTAAGGTGAGACTCGTACAGCTGGCACCCCACAAAATAAGCCTTGCCTGTGAACCTAGGCAAGCCTTTTAAAACAATGCTCAAATGAGTATTTTGGATCTAAGCGCCACTTTCAGTTGATACACAAATAAATGTTTTTTTATGAATGTTGATACACAAATAAATGTTTAAGGCCATGTTTGGGAGTGCTTATTTGGGCCATTAAGCACTTATTGGTATTTGGGAAATAAGTCCAAAATAATTGCTTATTTTAAAAATAAGGGCTTATTTTTTAAGCCCAAATTTCCAGCTTTTTTTAAGTGCTTATACAATAAGCACTTATTCAAATTTTTTCCTCCAAAATTATCCCTAATTGAATTTTAAAATACCACATATAAAATTATCCCTAGTTGAATTTTATAAAAGTACTTTTATGAAAGCACTTTTATTAAATTACTTTTATAAAAATACTTTTATGAAAGTAAAGTGCTTTCAAAGGGTATATTTTGAAAATTTGAAAGAAAATGAAGGACAAAATAGTCACAAATGCTTATTTAAGTGCTTATTAGAGAAAAAGACTACCAAACGCCCAATATAAAATAAGTTTATTTTAAAAAAATAAGCACTTGAAAAAGTTGGGTGCCAAATGCAAATAAGTGCTTATTTGAATAAGCACTTATTTTTAACTTAAGCACTCCCAAACATGGCCTAAGACACATTAAAAGAAAAATGTTCAGGATCTCCTCTACAAGCCCCATCAACATTCTGTTTAAACATGTTTGCAGCAAGCCTGGTGCAGAAAGAATATTTCTTTTGTTGCCTCATAGGATTGTTATTCAAGGCTTTAAAAAAATCCCAAGAAGCTGAATTCATTCTTAGTTTCGATTAAAAGTCCCATCTCTTTAATCCACCTAAAAATCTCTGCAACATTGAAATTACAATGGTACAAATCCTCCTTGTGTTTCGGGTACTTACTTTACCTGCAAGCTTCCCAAAGCACCAATGATGGAAATACACTCATCATAATGTTTGATACGTGCCTTAGGAAAACTCACCCCTAAAAGCTAGCTGTTAGAGGGAGAGAACCCAAGCACATATATATCACACAACAGCATCCCATAGTACCAATGTGGGACAAAGGGGTTGTAACATTTCACCACACTCCGCAGTCCCAGCACCCACGCAAGCCGACTTTGCCCTAGTCCACCTAGTCCCGACCGAACATTGCAATACCAACATCACTGCCTGCACCGCACAATTGCAACTGGGAGGCATGGTGTAGGCTCTGATACCATTTGTTACGTGCCTTGGGAGAACTCACCCCTAAAAGCTAGTTGTGGAATATCTCACATTAGCATCCCATACTACCAATGTGGGATAGTTGAACAAATCCATTCCTCTTGCCCTATTAAACCACATTATACAACTGCCAAATTTTTGGTTGACTTGAAAACAAATACTAAAACAGAGACCAAGATAATTCAACACCTTCTTGGCCAAAGTAATTCTATTGAGAAGGTCAACCAAGGCTTCAATAGTTCAATGGATTTTGTTCCACATGGCATGTGCATTTTGAGGATCCAAAGAAAGCACAGAATCTTTAAAGAATAGCCCTATGCCACAACAACTTCCACCAAGTTTTTATTTATTTTTTTTTTTTGATCAATAACAGCTTCAGCAATTTTATTAAAATATCACAAGAATAGTTACAGCAAGGAAGACAAACACTCTTATCTTCCAAAAACAACTTAAGTCCTCAAAGAAAGAAAAGGAAAAAAAGAAGCAATTTAGTTACAACTTAGACCGAAACATTACATCCCTTTCTATCCCCTATTTAGCTAGCCCATCAGCTATAGAGTTGGCTGTTCTTTTAACCGAACTCAGCCTGATTTCCATTTCCCGCACCAGCCACTTGAACTTTCTTCTCTCATTGCTGTACTTCCATAATCCACAGTTGTCTTTCCTCAGCCACCCTATCACCACCTCCAAGTCCCCTTCAATTATGAGTTTCCTGACGTCCATCAACTTAGCTTTCTGAACTCCTTCCATAATTGCCAAGATCTCAGCTCTAAGAGAATCCCCCACTCCAATTGGACCTGAGAACATGGCTGAAATGACCCCGTTCTCATCCCTAAAAACACCCCCAATCCCTGATTCTCCAGGATTCCCCCTACAACTCCCATCAAAGTTCAATTTTAGGAATCCAGCAGGTGGGGGTGTCCAAGACACCTTCACAACTGATTTGGACTTCATACAGCTTGCAATCTCACCCCACTTGCTCAACATGTCATCCACTGTTTAGTCTGTGAATAGCTCTAGATATTTCAGCCACGGTACAGCCCTGATATGGATCACAAACCTCAATTCTTCAGCCCCTCTCTCTTCATCAGAGAAGATTCTAAGATTTCTTTCTACCCCTAAAGACCAGCATACTGCAGCCCTCAGTCCTCTCCACAGTGTCCTTCCCCTTTTCACACGCCATTTGAACAAAGAAGGAGAAAATAGGCTCTGCAAATCTGATGGAGGGTTCCACCTGCGCCAAAAGAGAGAAAAATCCCATTCCCAAATTGACTTTGCAAATTGGCACGACATCAGTAAGTGAAAACCAGTCTCCCCATCCGCTTTGCATAGAACACACCAATGAGGTGATAAGCATGTATTGGGTCTCTTCTTTTGAAGCAAATCACCAGTATTGAATCTTTCCAGATAGGCTTCCCAACAAAAACTACCAACCCTAGGAGGAATTGGTCTGCACCAAACCTCATTAACCGGGAAAGGGGAGGTTGCAAGACTGGTGGACTGACATAAGACTTTGAAAAAGGAAGCACAAGGAAAAGAGCCCGTGGGGGTCGGGGTCCAAGTTCTAGAGTCCACCTTAGAAGGGTCAATGAAGACATTATCAAGATGGTCAAGGAGGCTCAAGACACATTGGAAGTCAGAGTCCCTCACAGCCCTCCTCAATCCCAGGTTCCACCCAAACCCAGAACTGGAGGAGGAAGGGGTGATGAAAAAAGAAATTGGCTTATTTTTACACTCAGAGAGGGCATACAAGGAAGGAAACAGGTCCTTAAGTGGAACATTCCCCACCCAAGTTTGTTCCCAGAATTTTATGCAAGTGCCAAAATTCGAATCATACTTGACAAGTGGGGAGAAGACTGGAAGCAAATCGTGAATGGCTTTCCAAAGTGAATTGCTTGTGGACCTTGCTCTAATTCCAGCATCCCATCCATTCTGCTCCATCCCATGTATGCTTGCCACCATTCTAGCCCATAGCTTCTCCTACTCCAAAGGAAACCTTCACAACCACTTTCCCAAGAGGGTCGAGTTCCTTCTCCCAATATTCCCGAGCCCCAAACCTCCACTAGCTTTACTCCTGGTCACCATTTTTCAGCTAACTCTATGGTCCCTCTTCTCCTCTCCCGGCTCCCAAAGGAAATCTCCCATTAATCTCTCCAACCTACTGGAAACCTTCACTGGAATTTTGAACACTGAAAGGAAATAAATGGGTAAGTTTGCTAGCGTGACCTTGATCAGTGTAGTCCTTCCACCAAGGAGAGATAATTCTTTTTCCAAGAAGCAAGCCTTTTTTCAAATCTCTCCACCACCAGGCTCCAAAAACTCTCTCTTGGGATTATCACCTAGGGGCAAACCTAAATAACTCAAAGGCCAATCTGATATTTCACACCCAAGCACCTTTGCATTCTCCCTAACCTCTCCCTCCTCCATATTCACACCCACTACACAACTTTTCCCGAAGTTCGCTTTCAAGTTTGACATTTGCTCAAAAAATTGAATTACTAATTTCAAATTCCTAATGAACCTCACATTACCTCCTTCACAAAACAAGATCGTATCATCAACAAACTGTAAGTGAGTGAGTGGGATGTCCTCCCTACCAACCCTCTATCCTCTAATGAGGCCCCTAGAGTCTGCTCTATGAATCAACCTTCCCAACACATCAGCAACAAGTAAGAACAGAAAAGGGGATAGAGGGTCACCCTGTCTTATACTCTTAGTGGTTGGGAAAAAATCTACCACTGTCTCATTCACTAGTATTGAATAATGACAGTTCCGAACACACCCCATGATCTATTTACACCATCTAGCCCCAAACCCCAATTTGGTCATGACTTTCCTCAAAAATTCCCAATCCACCATTTCATATGCCTTCTCCAAATCCAATTTACAACCCCCCCTTCTTTTTATCCTTCTTGAAACTCTCCACACTCTCATTGGAAATGAGGATTTGATCTGTAATCTGTCTTCCACTCACAAAGGCACCCTGATTTTGTTCAATTAAGTCTGGCAATACCTTCTTCAGTCTCAAAGATAACACCTTTGCAATGATTTTGTACAGGCTATTGACCAGACTAATTGGTCTGAAGTCCCTTGGGTGTGAGGATTCTTTCTTTTTGGGGATCAGAGCAATGAAAGTGGAGTTCACCCCCCGATTAATAATTCCTCTCCTATAAAACTTCTCAAACACCCGTAAAAGGTCCTCTTTCAGAATATCCCAACAATCCTGATAGAAAGCAATTGTAAAACCATCAGGCCTTGGAGTTTTTGTTCTATCCATAGAAAATACAGCTTCCTTAATCTCTTCCAAGTCAAACCCCCTCTCCAAACTTCTCCTGTTATCCCCCCTACATCTGGCCAATCCAATCCTTCCACCCACACCCTTCCACTTACAGGCCTTCTTAGAATGGATTTAAAATGTTATACATATGCCCCAGCTATCTCCTCTTGTTGAATTAACTCAATTCCATCCACAACCAGTTCGGAAATGAAATTTCTCCTTCTCCATCCACAACCAATTCCATCCACATGCCCCAGCACCCTTTTAACTTTGTACGAGGTGGAACTCTTATAGTTCAAGAAGCAAATTGCAAGACTCTTCTAATTATTTCCTCAGTTGTCTTTTTGATTGATAATAGGTCAATTATATTCTATTGAACAATAAAAAGGTAAACTCAGACCTAAGGCTCATATCACTAAGTTGTGTCTATCCCAAAGGAACTAGTCCATGTACAACGAAGTATACACTTCGCAAAAGATCACTATGCCATTTTTTTATCAGAAATGATAACTTCATTAAAGATAATTTAAATCTGAAATATAGAAGTCAACCCCTATTAGAAGAGGTTGATCCAATAGACATCATAGTATCATACACTACAGCACTGCCCAGTAAAGGCTCTCCCTTACAATCCCTTGTTTTGCTAAGGCATCAGCTAAACAATTTGCTGATCTCCTTACCCACTTAAAACAAACACCCACCTCCCTTGTTATGTTAAGTATTTCCCTTATCAGCTGTCTATATTGCCAAATTCCTAGCTGCCCTAATTGCATCCACCTACGGGTGTAAACGGATCGAATTCGAATCTGATTAGAAAATCCAATATCCAAATTTGATTCAATATCCGATGGATATTGAAAATTAATATTCGAATTCAATTAAATATTAGAATATTTGATTCGACTCGAATTCAACCAATTAATTATTTTAGGTAATTAATAAACATATAAAATAAATATTTTATTTATAAATAACATTTAAATATTTTGTATATTATATATAAGAATTAAATAATCAATTGAATTCGGATATTTATCAAATCGAATCAGGTCATATCCGAATTTGACTGATTAGATATTTGAATTATCCAAATTCGATTGATTATGTCAAATCTTGAATTCGAAATTGGATTTTCAAATAACATTGACACCCCTACATCCACCCAATTACCAATTTGGAGTCCCCCTCTATCTCAATCTGTTGTAGCCCCAATTGTTTGGCCAGTTTTACTCCTTGATGTAGTGCCAAGGTTTCCACTCTTAAGGAATCTCCAATTCCAACTGGACCTGAATACAGAGCTATTATCTTGCCTTCTGAAAGCACCTCCTATACCAGATGGGCCAGGATTACCTATACAGCTTCCATCAAAGATCACTATGCCATCTCATACGCATTATGATTTTGAAGACCAACTACACCAAATTTTGTATTTTCTTTTAACATAGATGTATACTTTTTTTCAAGACCAAAGAAGCTGAATAATATGAGAGAAAACACAAGGGATACGCCTTCTGGTATTCTGCTTGTATCAAACAAAAGTTATTATAAAACACTGCAATATGGAAAGGAAAATTATTACCTGAAGACACATGATGTCAGGTGACCATAGCCTAAGCTCAAAAACCATTCTTTTCTTTCGCCATTCCCAGTCTAGCATATACCTGGGTATGTGAAAGTAAAGTTCTCGCCGGTGGTTCGTAGCCAGGTAATCCGCAAGTATATTGTATGAGAGGACTATAAACCGCTCTGTAAATCATTGAAACAGATTAAAAAACAATGTCTAGCATCCAACTTTGCAATTATCCTAAGAAATAATTGTATCGAAATGCAACAATTTTGCGACTTAATCCACCATTTAAATGAACAACAGAACTAGTTTATAATCCAATTCATCACCAGCAGTGATTCAGATGTTATTAACTAAATTTTCACCTTAATTAAAGGAGAAGTAAATAAAAATAAAAAAAAAACATGTGTTTTAAAGACTAAGCAGAAAGCAATACCACATTGACCAGGAGGCTGTGACAAAGCGTACTCCCAGTTCCTGTAATCCAAGGGTTTCGGTCGCTGTTGACGGACAGGCGGATGATGACCGTATGGAAGTGGTTGGCGAAAAGGTGGCCGAGGACGGAAATTTTGCGGCTGAAACCCACCGGGGTCCCGGAAACTCCCTCTTTGTCCCTGCCGGAAACCGTAATTTGTCTCCCTTACCGTCCTGAAATGTGAATCTCCGGACACAAAAGTGTCTCGTCCGCCACTGGGCCGATCCGAGAACCCTCGTCGCCATGGATACCGACCGCCGGACTAGCAACGAAACATATACGTTTAGGATTTCTCGGTCAAATGATTGAAGCATGAAGATTTAAAAAGTTTTCAGCTTTTTACAGTACATACAGAAGCGCGGGAAGAAGACATGCTTGCGTCAGCGGCTGCTGCGGCTAGGCATTGGAAAGAAGAGGCGGATGACCTCATCGTTCACGGCCTTACTTTCCAGACCGTATTGTTAGGAGGTTCCAACTTCTAACACTTTCTTCATAGGAAGAATCTCTTTATCCTTCTTCTTCTTTCCCTTCTGGTGTTTCACTTCACTCACTCAGAGGTCGCCGACTTGCTGCCGAAGGGCTTTAGCTCTGATCAACTTGCGAGAGTTTTTTAAGAAAGACGATGATGAACGCGTTAGGATATAGGATGCCACGTACATTTTCTCATAAGGGCATTTATGTCATTCAAGAGTAATATTTACTATGGTAGCTCTCGTCTGCAGCGGTGCAATGCAGCTTAGCGGCGGCGTGTGCGTGTGGTGTGGACTCATGCTATCGTGACCGAGTGACTGTGTATACTGTAATACCACGGAATCTGAGGCTGGGCTGTTTTGGAAGCCTGTTTTGAATGACATCTCGTAATGAGTGTGAGTAAAATAATAGTTACACTCAATACTGTTTTAGTTGAGAAAGACAAATAAGGACATGAAATAGGTGTGCTCCCAAAAAAGCCCAAGATGTTTTTTCGAAACAGGCAAAGTGATCTCCGGAATATGGGGTTGATCATTTCAAGCCCAATCCGAAAGGCTCGGTCTCGGTCTATAATTTCCAGGCCCGTTCTAACCCAACCCTGCACGTCCCTTAATTAGGGATGGCAACGGGACGGGTTCGAGAAAGGGTTTTTGTAAATTTTAGAATTTTTTTATTAATAACCGCTCATAAATTGGCATCAATTCCGATCTGGCATATATTCTCCTATTTTTATGTGTCAATACATTATTAAATTTAACACACAATGCATAAGTTCATATTGCCTTACAACAAGTATAAATATCAATACACACGGATACACCGAATGGGACGTATTGAGTTTTTTGACCCCCATACTCTACTCTTCTCTCTTTGAATTTTTTTCAAAACCTGTTTAGAGGGGTCAGTCTAATGTTTCTCTACCTTTTAAAAGGGGTCAAAAGAACCAAATCCTGCCTATTTGGCGTGTTGGTGACCCATCAATACAATATGTGGCAAAAATTTGGACATTGCTTGCAATAACAATTTAATTGTAAGCACTATAATCATCTTAGTAAATTCAATATGTGGGTCAAAAAAAAACATGTCTAAGAGATTAATGATATTACTAGTGAAATAGTAAAAAAAAAATGTGGTAGTCTATCAAATATGGTAGTGAAACAGTCAAAAAAAAAGCACAAAAAAATGATGGTAGTCTATCAAACTTACCTTTTATTGTGTACATCAAATATCACATTGTTTTCATGTAATAGTTTGGGGGGTCTAATGCAAACAAGGAAAAAACACATGGATGGAGAATGAATAATATGTAATGCTGAGAGAGAGAGAGACCTTTATAATGCAGATTCTTCAATGTTTATGGTTTTCCTAGGCTAAAACTTGTTTGAAAACAATAATGAGTGATTTTTTTCTTAGGCTGCGTTTGGAAACGATGCAAATAAGTGTAAATGCAAATATGTAGAATGAAATAGTTCATATAAATTGTAAAATTGGGTTAGTTTTGCACTAACAAATTTATCTTATTAACAAACAGACTTTTGGTTGCAATGGGTGCAAACATGAATTCTAATAAAGCATATGCTTTTTTTTTATTAAAAGCCCATTCGAATGCAAATTTACTTCTTTTTTATTGATGCACTTTTACATCTTATTATCAATATAAATATGCATTGGCTTGTCATTTGTCAGTCTATAAATGTAATGTTGCCAAACACTGGCAAAAGTAAACCAAAAAGTGCAAATTTATCCTGAACCGGGATTTATACTCCATTTGCATCATTTCCAAATACAGCCTTAATGGCAAAGGGAAGAGGAATACATGCAATAAGAATAAGAAGAAACATACAATAAGAATACCAACTGATGGTGGCTCAGGTGGTAGGTTCAGTGACTACTCGGAGTAGAGACCTAGGATCAAATCCCTCTGCCACCAGGGGTTAGGGGGTTGTATAGTCCCATGAAGCTAAAAAAAAAAAAGAAAGAAGAAGAAACATGTTCATGTGTTTTTTTAAGTTATGTCGTTTGATATCCCAATGGGTATTGAATGCAACTTTTGGGGAAATGAATATTGGAGGATGCTTCTATGTAACAAGCTATTTTGCCCACGTGAATTCCACACAGGTGATGGAAGTAGTTCCATGGGAAGGTCATTGAACCGATTCAATGTTGGTTGATGTCAACTTTCCTTACAAGATTTCACCAAACATTGTGTCGAGGGCATTTTACGTGGGATCCACTTATCAATGCTATAATCCAACGCCCATAGCCCTCCCAAATGGAATTGGATATGCTACCCCACTCGTTATTCCCACATCCCTCCCCATCAGTAATTACAATTGTGCATTGAGAACATTTCCCTTATCATTCATGGGGAGATGTTCCCAAATACACAGGGGTGGTGTTAGGTGGGTATGGATGTAAGAACAATTCATGAATAGCATATTCGAAGTGCTCCCAAATAGGTTATTAGAATTTTCGTATTGTGTTAATGCATTGTTTTTTATCACATAGGACATGATTGGTTTCTAACTACTCCGACCATTATTGAACGCCCCATCCCTAAGGGTAGGGTTGCAAATGAATCGAACTGGGTATAGGCATATCCAGATTTATTCATTTATGTTCAATATATCCAAATTCGATTCTTTTATGTTCAATATTGAATCGGATCTTATCCATCTGATTATAATTGAATTTGGATTCCAACCGGATATTGAATAGTAATAAATAAATAAACGATTAAAATAATATATATTATTAATAAAATGAACTAAAAATGACTGCTATTGTATTTCTTTAACAATATGAATATAAGATAACTTGCATGAAACTTAAACTTATAATAATTTAATAAAAAGGGAAATTCCCGATTAGTACCTTGTACTTTGGGCCTAGTGCCACTTTGATCCCCAAACTTTAAAACGCGACAAGTCAGTACCTGAATTTTTTAAACGTGCCAATCCAGTACCTACCAACCAACTGTTAAGCAGATTTTGAAAAGACACAAATGCCCTTCAAGTGTCATCTAATTTTTTTATTAACCATCCAAAAGTTTGGGTCACATCTCAATGGGCATTCTAGTGACTCCAACTTCTTTAAATAGAAAAGGCAAGGATTTGAGATTGTTCATTTTTTGTCAGCGTTTGCATGGTTGATAAAGAAAAATAGATGGCACTCGAAGGGCACTTGTGTCTTTTCAAATGTCAATTAACGATTGGTTGATAGTAGGTATTAAATTGGCACGTTTTGAAAGTTCAGGTATTGAATTGTCACATTTTAAAGTTTGGGGACCAAAATGGCATTGGGCCCAAATACAAAATACTAATCGAGAATTTCCCCAATGCTTAGTTTATAAATAATATAATATAAATCTGTACAGTGCAAATACATACAAAATAAAACAAAATACAAGGTTTTGCATTCTATATATTTGTATTTGTACTCCTTCCAAACCGAGCCTTATCAAAAATACAATATTTGAACTAATACATACGATATAAACTTTTAAATACTTAATCAAATAAATCCCATGTCATCGGATTTTATGCAATTATAATCATATTGAATTTGAATTACCTTTGATGGGATTGAATTAAAATTTGGAGTTTTAAACAATCAAATTCCGTTCACACCTCACTTAATGGCCGAAAGGAAATGGCATGATGGTTTGACTTTGTTAAGGTGCTCTCATGCTCTACTCGTCAGCAGCCAGCAGGTGTTTGATTTTGTTCAACCACTTTAGCCCTTTTCAATCGGCATTCAGTTGAAGACATAAGATAGGAGTTGGGAACTCCCGCCAACAAGATACATTTAAATACTATTCCAACTTAACGTGAGACCGCACATCTCACCATGAATAAAATGTGTGGTGTTCGATCATGTTGGAAGGATATTGGAACGTATTTTATTGGCAAGCGATCTGGACTTTAGCATATCCAATCAACTGAGTTTCTACATAAAGGAGCTACACAAAACACACATCACATAAATAAATAATAATAATAATGATGAGGGCGGATTTGTCCCTCCAATAACCTCATGACATATGGCATTTCGAAACAGCTAGACAACACCCAAATGCCACCTAAGCGATGATTTGGAGTCTTAGATCGCAATTCGTCTTCGCCCTGACCTAGCGACCTGCCTTTTATCGCTGACCTGGCGACCTCGACCATAACTTAGGTCGGCTTGTAGCACCTCGTCCAGGGCTGACCTGTAGCACATCGTCATCGGCTGAAGTGACCTCGACGCGAGGTGCAATCTCTCTCGAGGGCTTGCCGACTTAACTGAGGACTAGGTGACCTGCAAGATGTGCTCGCCGACAAATTCGGCATGCATACCCCGACACTCCCAGGTTTATCTGAAGTTGGCCCGCGTACTGAATGTCCCGGATGATGGTCAACGTGCATAGCGGTTACCTCTGAGGATTTGGGACCAGCAAGGCATGACCTCCCAGAAATCTCGGATGCGGTGCGCGAAGCCTACACCAAACAATGCCTATATAAAGGCACCAACCGCAATGACACTGGGGACGCGCGATTACTTGCATCCAATATCTTTAGCACTAAGATTCTAGCTCACAATCACAACACCGTACTGACTTAATCGCCCCGGGTGCTCTAATCCTCTGTCTTGCAGCTTGGTCCAGCTTACTACACGACTAAGGTTCAGATCATCCTCCAGTTAGGAGCTTCCAGATCGTGCATCATCAAATAATAATAATAAAACCTAACGCTACCTATTACAAAAACCCTCATTATGACGAAGGTTGGCAAATCAATCTGCTGATGAGAAAGTTTATATTCCAAAGATGTCGATTCTGCCCGTTTAGACGATATCACATATCTGCCGCACAACACATCTCTATTGTCATTGAGAGATGTTCCCAATACATGGCGGGATTGTGATGTGGGGCGGAACTCCCTTTAAACAACCAATCACTTTTTATGATGATATTATGTCTTTGAAATGACATTTCCAAAAGATGGGACTCTGCTGCAACCCAAGATTCACCTACATTGACAGTAGTGTACTCTCAAAATATATTTGAAATAACCACCTCAAATGATTTATAGCCACACAATAACTATTGTAGTTGGCCCATCATTTATAGGTATTCTATTATTTAGTATTTAGCTTTCTCAAAGATTATAGGAGGTGCCAAATGAGGGGTGACTCAATTGGTATGTTATTTGGTTTCATACGGATTTCATTTCTACAATCATTGATTTTGAGAAGAGGATTTTTAATGTGATGCATATCAACAAATACTCAAAAAAATAAAAAATCATAGAAGGTGAGAGACATTCATTTTCAAAAATATTTTTATTCTTGTTCTTCCAAAGTTGTCAGCATGCTTACCATATATTTAGAAAATTAATTTTTTCCCTGTTTCATTTTTTCCACCCGTGTAACATTGAGTGTTTTCTTTTTTTTTTTCTTTTTCATTTCATTTAAGTCTTATATCTCACATTTTAAGCCAAATGATGGTGACTCAATTGGTAGGTTCTTGATTTGTCGGAATAGATACCTGGGATCAAATCCTGGTGCCACTAGGAGTTGGGGGAGGGGGGTTAAGGAAAAGGGGATGGGCTACCCCCTGTTGTGTAGCCCCATGAAGCGATAAAAAAAGTATCTCACATTTCAAGAAGATTTAAGTTATATGAATCCAGCTTCAATCAGAGCAAAACCTGTTCAGCCTTGCATTGAGATTATGTGCTTTATTTCATGGATAGATATTCCCAATGCAAGATTACAAGAGGCCGTTAGAACGGTGTGATCATGAATTTGCTCTGACTGAAGCCAAACTCAAGTTCTATTCTAGAGCCAAGAGGAGCCGATCAGACTCCATACTTCTAATTTCACTTGGAGCCCTGTCAAAATTTTGTTCTTTGTTTGCACGATGGTGACTTGGAATCTCGATTCCGTGGCATGTAAAACGTGGACAGCACACAACTCTATTTTTTCACTGATCGAGAATATAGTTGGCTGGCAGTTTGCCACGTTTATCATATCTATTGCTCGAGTTTACTCATGCAGTGTTCAGAGAGCGGGTCCCACACGTCAGTTCTACGCTTTCCACGTGTAAGGGAAGAGGGTCGATGAACTGTAACTCCCATTCAACTGATACGTCATGACATCATAGATAAGAGGGGAATTCAAGTTTCAACCCCCTTAATTCTTCTCTGTTGTTTCTTGGGTGAAGATGATGGCGATCTGCTCCTCGTTATCATCTCCTCAATCTCCGTGTCTATTCTCCAAACGTTCTTATGGTGACAGACTTCATAGCTTCTCCGTGAGTTCTCGCTTCAAAGCTTCTACGGACGTTCCAGACTTTCTTTCTGCGGATTGGTATGTGATTCTTGATTTTTTTTTTTTTAGGTTTGTCAAAATATGTTCCGAATAATGTTTTATTCCTAACATATTTTCATTCCATTCCTTCTTATTAAGAGTATTGTTAGGTTGGGATTCCGTAGTAATCTATTTTGTTTCCAGATTGTAGTTCGGAAAATGTTGAAATGATTAAATTAGAATTTCACCCCTGAATCAAGAAGAATTTCTCAAGGACCTTCTTTTATCGGTTTATGATATAAATTCTTGCACCCTTAGGTGTGTGCATATGCACTTAGCCAAATTATCAATAGCTGAGAATATTTGTCTTTTTGTTGTGCAATTTCGGAAATTTAAGTACAAAACTCAAAAGAAGGCGATGAACTATTTAATGTTCAGAGAATCTGGAGAAGTTCAGTTTGGAATTTTAGGGAAACTCAATATCTGGATATTGTTCCCTTCGTTCAAAGACTTACAAGCCGACGGTTCTTCATGTTAAAAGACATTATCTAGATTCATATTGTGTTAATTTCTATTTAAATATCTTATTTAATTATTTATTTATTTTTCCAAGTTATTGAGTTTCTAGTCATGCCTTCTTTCTAGTTGGCTTTTGGCTTCACTGCTCGAGAAGGAACAGATTGGGAATGATAATTCCACACAAATATGATATTAATATGCTTTGTTTCATTATATGCAGGTTCTCTTTCTTTTGGCATTTAACTGTGGGATCATTTTGCCATATTTACGTTTCCTTCATTATAATCTGCAAATATCACTTTCATTGCTACAACTTGAATACTGCCATTTTCTGGACACTGATCTTAATCTGTTAGATAATTTTGGAAATTCTGTCCAGCCAGTCTATGGATTTTGCAGTAGTTTGGTGTCAAGTGAACTTCCTTCTTTGTTATAGGCTAAAAGAAGAAACTATGACAGGAAACTAGCTGCAAAATATTCAAGGGTGGGTCCTTTTTCAGTCTTCAGTTCCATGAAATCAAACACCACATCAAATGCATTGCTTTGTTTACTCACAGAAAACCCATTTGCGCATTAAAATGAGTGTATGTGCAGAAAATAAACAAATCACATTTAGAACAAAAGATATAAACTGTACACCCAGGAAAGGGGCTATTTACACTGATACTTTGAAAGTAGACAAAATTCAAGGCAAATAATGGTAAAGGACAGAAACTTACCCTCACGTCTGATGGAACCTATTGTAATTATTTATTCAAACTCTTAGAGGCCTACCATCAGTGCTCCATAGGCAGATTATCCATCATCACAATTTTGGAAAGCCTCCAAAATGCATTGCCTAATGCATCTTTGGCCTTTCAAATTTCCAACAAGAGTTCAGAATTCAAGAAATATAAGAATTTGAAACCTTGATTGTAGATTAGAAATCGTGTATTCTATCCATTGAGAAGATCTCCTTTCTAACTTCTTCTCACTCATTACTTATTCCCAACTTTTGTCTTTCCCACATTTTAATCATCATCTAACCCAATATGAAAATGAGGTTACTCTCCAAGCTGCCTCTTTTTTACCTTTTTCTTTTTTTTGAGAGGGGTCATGCAAATAGGATGAGAATTTCCTTTTATTATTCCCGGTTAATTCCAAATGTCTATGAAAATGCAATTATTGAGATGCATCTCATAACTGACCAGTTCATTTAAATTACCCTTACAATCTTATAGTTCTCTCTCTCTCTCTCTCTCTCTCTCACACACACACACACACACAATCTACAAGCAATTAATCCCCCTTCTTATAGGCTGGTAATTACCCTCTACCCCCTGCATTTCACCATTTACAACCCCTTGCTTGGATAATGCATCAGCCAAGCAATTAGTTTTTTTTTTTTTTTGATAACTCACTGAATATATATTAAATAAAGAAACTCCAACTGCTCAAAACAGAGCAGCAGAGCACAAACAGAATACAAAGGAATCTGCCAACACATTTGCAGACCTAGGAACCCAATTGAATGAGGCATTTAATGAAATTCCAATTGCTACTGCCCCCCTCACCAACTGCCTAAATTCCTAGGTTAGGTGATCCTGTGCTTTCATCCAACATATTACAGTTTGACAATCCCCTGCCACAATCACATCTCTCCACCCTTGCTGCTGTATTAGTTTCAAACCTTGAATTTATATAAGAAATTCTGCCCTTAAAGAATTCTCCTTCCTGCTGGGCCTGTGAAACTGAGAAGAGTATTACCATGCTGATCTCTCACACCCCCACCCCTGAGGGTCCTGGATTCCCTAGGCAACACCCATCAAAATTGAATTTGATTAAACCTTCTGCAGGAGGAGATCAAACCAGAAAAGTTTTCAGTTTGCTCATTTGGAAACCAGCCACTGTTTGCCATCCCCTCAATAAATCATTTAAGGAAACTTCTTTGAACTCCTCTGTCACCAGCACCCAATGTGCCACCCTGATTAGAGTGATCTCTATAACCTCTTCAACTGATTTGTGAATTTCCTCAAAAAGTATAGCATTCTTTTCACACCACAGTCCCCACAGAATTGCACCTCTCAAGCATTGCCAAAGTATTTTTTGCCTCCTAGTAGAGAATCACAGGAAATCTGTCTTGAAAAAATTCACCACCTCGCTTGGTGCACACCAAATCTTACCCACCAATGAAAAGAAATGCTGCCAAACCTGCTGTGCAAAAGGGCATTGCAACAAGAGGTAGTTAGTAGACACCCCATTCTTCAGAGAAAAGACACACAGATGAGGTGAAAGATACCAAATGTTCCACCCTTTGGAGCCTTTCAGAGGTGTTAGATTTGGTTGGTAGCTTTCCAACAAAACATCTTTACTTTTAGAGGAATTGGACTGGACCACAACTCTCTGGAAGGAAAGGGTTGAGGATCAACAAAGGGAATCAAAGTTTTGAAGAAGGAAGCACAAGAGTAGGAGCCTTTATCATTGGGAATCCAAATCCTCTCATCACAACCTTCAGAGAAAGCCTGGACATTTTGGAGAAGTTCAAGCGAAGGGATTAATTCACAAGTTTCAGGATCTCTCAAAATCCTTCTCATACCTAAGTCGCAGGCTAGCCCAAACCCTTCTCTGGATACCATTTCAGCAATTGTTCTATGTTTGAAAGTGGATAGGCTGTAAATTCTAGGGAAAGAAAGACAGAGAGGAGAGTCCACCCACCACAAGTCTTCCCAAAACTTCACCAAGAAATTAGCTTCTCTTGGATAATAAGTTGTCTCCCAAGACCCTGCCCAAGCTTCTAATATCCCTCATAACATGTCTATACTGCCATGATTCCTGATTTTTTCCCTTAATGTAGTCCACAACTACCTTGGAGTCTTCCTCAATCATTGTATCCCTAAGATCAAGCACTTTACCAGCCTCAAACCATGTAAGACAGCTAACAATTTGACTCTTGTGGGGTTCCAATATCCCATTGGACTTGAGAAAATGGATAAAATGGTCTCATGGATGTCTCTAGACACCACTCCTATGCCTGGTAGCCTAGGATTTCCCATGCTACAGCCATCAAATTTATTTTGATGTGAGCTCACTTGATGACTGCTATTCGACAAGACAGATCTAGATATCGATGATGGTGCTATACACCACCATCCTCTCCCAATTCATCTCGCATGCAGGGGAAAAAGATCCTCAAGGTCTTTACCTAATGTTCTGCTTAATGTTTCAATGATAGATTCCTTGGTTTGTGCCTTCCCTTGAAGATTCTATTATTCCTCTCCCCCCAAACAGTCTAAAGAGTTGTGGACCTTGTGATCCTAGTGCTTCTCAATACAAATTTTCCTCCTCATTGCGGAGGCAAGAAGAAACAAGCATTGAATAAATCTCCATATCCATGCGGTGTCCACCTATATCCAATGAGAGAGAAAAAACCACCCCCAAATACTAGCAACAAATGGACAATAGATTAGCAAGTGATTGTATATTATCTCCTCGCATAACAAAGATAACCAAATGTGTGGAGATAAACACCAGTTGTGCCTCCTCTTTTGGAGATTTTATTGAGTGTTGATCTTCATATGAAATTCCTCATAGAAAAAGGCCCTAATCTTGGGTGGGACTGGTCTACTCTAAATTGCTTTCATCAAAAAAAGTTTGTGAGGGGCGAGGAGGAGAAAAAAGAACTTAGGAATGAAGTACAAGTGACTACTCCTAAAGGATTAGCAGTCCACACTATCCTATTGGACATGGAAGAGTCTAAAAAGTCACTCTCGAGTGAACTAAGTAGATTATCAGCTAAGGGGTTTCAACAAATCCCTTGGCCCTCTCTTGAGGCTGAAGTCCCAAGAAATCTCGAGGTTTGAGGTGGATACAAAATAAGAAACAGCTCTTACTTTGTAGGAAGAAATAAAAAACATGACAAGAGAAAGATCTTTTAGTGGAAAATCCCCCCCACATGACTATAACTTAGTTTTGTTCTTTCTCTCTCTCTCTCTCATGCACAGTCTAGTTAAGTGACTAGTCAATGTTAATGTTACCACCTGAATATAGGACTTGGTCCTAGGTGGGGGCACACACTGCTTTAATTGGGCAAATCTTCTTGCTAGTATCAACCATTACACTGAGCATCCACACCCTTTGATAGAAATCATCCTTGATTTGTGAAAATAATACCCGTCTACTTTTAGCTTATTAGAGTTTCTTACCTATTGCAGGCTCGAGTCTCGCAGGAAAAGGCCTTTTGGCCCAAGATTAAATGTAAGATTCTGGATTTCAGAATGTGTACCAACCATTGCTATTGCATCTATATAACATATCGATCTACCTTGGTCTCTTATTTTAGTTTAGTGCAGAAGAAGCAGTACAATACCAGCTTGATGCATTGAAATACAATGACCAACCTCGTCAAGATTATGGGGTGGAAGTGATGTATAGGGTAATGTCTAGATCAAGTGGTACAACCCAATCTTGTGTTTTTCACTGCCTGACTTGGACTCACAATCTGAATGCTATATGGATTTTCTACAACAGTTTGCTGGTTTTGATCCTTTTGAACGCTCCACCTATTTTGGGCCCTTCTTTGATTTGGGACAGGTTAGTGAGCTTTCTGAAACCTTAAGCATGTAATTTTTTGTAACCACTGCTAATTTTTATGGGAGACTTTCTTGCCTTTCATGCAGTTTGAGCGGTTTAGGCGGATTTTCCACCATTCAACATACCGAGTTTTGCTTGGTCACAAAGAAAGAAAGATCTTGAGCAGTTTGTGGGTAAAAGAGGTAAATAAGCAATATAACTTGGCAACCAAATTGGATTAATAGATAACTTTGATGCCTAAGTCCCAATGCCTTGATGGCACTTTTGTAAGCCTTTTCTATGTTGGTCTCTCAAATTGCCTGGTGTACATGTGGCTCTTAAATAGAATCGGTTCAAGCAGCGGGTTTGGATACGAGGATCGCGTCCAGAGGAAGAAGAGATATTCCAATTTACAATGGTTCAGGTTTGCTTGCTTTGCCTTCTTCTCATGATAGCTGTCTTCATAAAAATGACACTCCATTTTCTCATAATAGTTCCTTATATGATGTGCTTTCAAAACAGTCTGCCACTGTTAGAAATGATTTTTTTGTTTTTCGGTTACCATCTATCACTTTCTTATTATAAAAAATGTTTAGTTGATGAGATGAACTCGATTTTCCCAGTATATTTCTATTATAACCCTTGTTCATGCATAAGCATTACACAGATGGCATGGATATTAACTCAGATTCAAATCTTTCAATATGAGGAGCAGGTCCTCGTATGAGGAAATATCCCAAGGCCTAGACATGAAATTCAAAGAACGTAAAGATCTTTACCACGTGATGTCAAAACCAAAAACAGAAGCAAGTTAAATGCCCCAATAGTTGGAAAATTCATCTGATAATGAGCCTATGCAATTCAATTAAGTTTTCAATGTTTTTATGAAAGTGAATTGTTGAGCAAATTTATGATATGAAAGGTTACAGATTGCAAGCTTCGTGTCCATATGAATAATTTCTCTTGAATATCCACATCAAGCCAACTAATGAAATCAATAATTGGTCATGACCTTATTGTCTTGCAAAGAGCACGGGAAATTGATGATATGACATAATTGCAATGCTAACTATGCCAACAAGGAATTGACCCAACCCAATTTTTGCTTCTTCGGAATAAAATATATAGCATATTACTTGTTTTAGTATATGCTTGAACACATTCACTGCGTTTTGACAAAGCAAACGCTTGTTCCTTCTCATTGGCAGAGGGTCGGTGGTTCTTGGGACGGTTATTGGTTGACAGAGAGCCTACTTCATGATGGAGATGGTTTTTCTGGAGGTGTTGCTTATTGATCTGCCAATCCAGTAGTCATACCACAGCTTTGTAAATTGTAAATTATTAACTGGGGACTGATTAAACTACAATTAAAATGGGTTTCCTTCTTTTAACTTCCACGATTTGTATATATGATAAGTTCAGAGTCCTTCCATTCTCATTGTCTCGTCGCTGGAGGTTGATTAAACATTGTAAATGGAAATTGTAAGTTGTATGTCCAACGGACAAAATGATACTTAGGGAGTTGCTTAATTGCTTCTGCCCTATAAGAGCTCTCTCTCTCTCTTTGTGGTATTGTCATGCTACACATTACAAGGTCATTAGGTGGATGCAGAGCCGGGTGAACATGAGGGTATTTGGTACACCATTGCCATTTCTATTTGTATTGATCCGTGCCTCCAAATTAGAGAGGACACCAAGTGACCATACTGACTACTGGGTCATCACCACACTAGAGGCACTTGATATCTCAACTAATGTTGTATTTAGTACCATTATCACTTCTACTTGCAGCGTTTTGTATTGTTCAATACAAATGTTTGAAAATTTGTCTGTCACATCACATCAGATAACCACTTCTACCGAAAAAAGTATAAATATTGGATTAAGTGTTGGCATTTATAAAATAAACACCAAATATTATGTATTCCTAAAGAAGCAGCAATGGTACCATAATGTTGAATTGATAATTCAAACCATTTGTGGTAATATATATTCTTATAAAACTTGTGTTGGCCAACCTAAAATGTTAGTAAAAGTGTATCAAACACAACCTTAAGCCATTACTGTTCTCCTTTTTGGTATGGTAAACCGAAACCCCTCCTATTCTATCGCATGCCAAGGGAGACTAATGGGGATTGACATTCATGCGGGTCATGGGTTTGTATTTTTAATAAAGAAAAAAATGCATTTATCTTGTATATAAATTTTCTCTGTTATGCATATCCGGCTATCCTATATGTCCACCCCACCTTTCTCGGCCCAAAACTTTCTCAATCCAATTAATGTCGAGCCTCCTACATCGAGACATTTGGTTTCATGAATAAGGAGAAATTGTTCAAATTAAAGATTGCGATTTCTTTGATTGGTTGAAATGGCACTTTGAGCTATTGTTGGGGAAAACACAAATAAAAATTTGGGCTGTTTGCTATGTCTTTAAGGCTTAGTTTGGAAAGAGTACAAATACAAATATGTGCAGTATAAATGCATACAAAATATTATAAAATTCAAGGTTTTGCACTTTACATATTTGTATTTGTACTCCTTCCAAACTGAGCCTAAATAATTATTTTATTATGGCACAGTTTGGAAGGAGTGCAAATACAAGGTTTATGAATACCGTGTACAAGGTTTTGGACTATGCATATTTGTATCTGTACTCTTCCCAAATGGAGCTTATGTGGCAAGTTATCATCTAATGTGATGTATAAGCAATGTAGAAACAACTTAATGGGTACTGGGCAACATGATTGGTACATCCACATTGGTGAGCACCCCTTAGACTCTGAATTTCTTCGTTTTTGGACTATGCATATTTCTATTTGCACTCTTCCCAAATGGAACTTATGTGGCAAGTTATCGTCTAATGTAATGTATAAACAATGTAGAAACAACTCAATGGGTACTAGGCACATGATTGGTACATCCACATTGGTGAGCACCCCTTGGACTCTGAATTTCTTCGTTTTTTTYTAAGTGTTTGATAAGTATACATATTAACCATGTGTTTAGATTATTATATTTTGTATTAAAGCTTGATTTCAATCAAATGTATCGTGGTTAGATGATTCAACAACAATTGAAAAATAAAAAAAAAGAAAAGCAAAATCTATGGTGCATCCATTGTGCAAAAGACATGACTAGTTGAACATGTTGGTGAGTACTCCTTACTAAATGTAAAAATACACTTTGTAAAACATGGATCAATGAAAGGTGTGAGACTTATAGCATGGTTGGTTGATATTTGGACTTAATGTGCATTCAATGTTAATGAAAGCACCATAGTTAGTCCTGTCAATGATACCCGAAAAATCCAAGGCCGGATATGACATCCAATCTGATTATCTTGGATATGGATGATGTGTTTATGTAATCGAATTGGATTCATAATTTGGAATTTACACCTGATGAATAATCATATTAGATTTAGAGTTGACACCATTCAATCTGATTAAAATCCAAAACTAAATATACTATAATGTTTATTGATTTTAATATGTAAACTTTATATGATTATCGATGGTGCGTGATATGGTGCTCCCTACTGGAGGACAGCTTGGACGTTGGGCTAACGAGGTCAGCTAGCCGAGCTGCAGGAAGACATAACTCAAAGTACCCGGGGGTGGGCACTCTGATGCTTAAGTTAGTAAAGAGCGTCTAGATGCTTAAAAAGTGAAAGTGCAAGAGTGATTGAGAGATAAATTGTGTGTTCATTCTTTAATGAATGAGATGCCTTTATATAGACGTAGATTGTCGTGGGCTTCATCTAGCATGTTTGAGATCACCAGCCTGCCTCGTTTGGAGGTGGTTTCACACTTAGAGACGGCTTCTGCGTAAAGCGATGAAGCTTATACGGTTGCCTCCAAAGTGGGCAAAGCAGGAGTTAGGTCCATCGATGAGGCGACATGATCCCAAAGGATTCAAAAACAATAGCCCACGCATAGAGGAGGTTAGCCGCCACATCATGCAGATTGTCATTCGAGTCTCAATCAGTTTAGCATAAAATAAGTTGCCTCTTAAGTCGACCTCGCCTTGTTGAGATGTTTGCATGTCGACCCTATCGAGGTGGTGCTAAGACAACTAAGGCAAGCGAGGTGCGCCCGGAGTGTTTCTAAAGTTGCCTACATGGCGCTAAGGTGTCATGAGACGGTTCCAGAGTGCCACATGTCATATTGTCACTAGAGGGACAAATCACCCATCATCAATTATATTTAAAATTGTACACACACATATATATATATATATATATATATATGTATATATATATATATATATTGAATATTATATTATATTTATATAACAAATGCTTTATGTTACATTTACATTAATTTATTATATATGAAAGTTTAAAAATAATTAACTTTCTTTTGTATTTTAATTGATTAAAGTGTCATATTAGATCCATAACTGATCAAAGTTTGCCTGGGTTCGAATTTGAATCCGATATCTTCAAATCATAATGGGCTTTTAGATGTAAGTTTTCAATAATCGGATCAAACTCATATTTTGTCGAATTCGGTCCGATTACAACCCTAACCATAGTTGAACTACAAAAAATGCCCTTCAAAAAGACTAAAGCATCTCTGGTTGCATCAAGTACCCATACCNAAAGACTAAAGCATCTCTGGTTGCATCAAGTACCCATAACCCCCCCCCCCCCCCCAAAAAAAAAAAAAAAAGAGAGAAACACACACACAAAAAAAAAAATTCATGCAAGGTGGAACTCAATCCCCAAGTGTTTGTTATGACTAGTCAAATACCTCACAAACTAGCCAATTGGCACCTTTGATGCTTAGTTTGGGGATTAGTGCAAAATACAAATATGTTTATAACAAAACCTTGAATGAGGCATTTCTAAACCTTGAGTTTGTATTATATATTTACATTTGCATTCTTCCCAAACAAAATCTCAAAGTACTAAATATTTCCAGCCATACAAACATATACAAAAATTTAAGGTAGAGGAATCTATAAAACCCCCTTAAATCATTCATTTCAACTAATTATCAAATTGATCACAACTTGATGTTTCTTTTTTTTTTTCCGGGGGGTAGGGGAATTGAAGGTTCCCTAGTGAAACAGAGCAACGTGCACTTGAAAGCCTACTCACCACACCACAAAAAGCATGTTGTCACAAGTGAACTCTTCACCACTCCCACAAGTGCCATCCACCATGCCTACAACATGTCTTCAATGTGTCATGAGTTTGTCTTGGATGGGGCTATCTATGTATTTTGTAAGGGGGGACGCCAATAGCAATACTGTAATTATGTAATATGATTTTCAGCATTTTGATGTTTCATTTTGACATTCCACAAAAAGGCTTAACTTACTATTTGAGGGGAGATAGATAGTCGAGTGTGCCAATACAATGAGCCCTTTTACTAATTCGTGTGCATTATGCGTTGCCTTTCGTGTGTTATTGCTTGCTTTCATAGGCTTACTCGACCCAATAGAACGTCGCACGAGGCCTTGCTGACTAGCCCTATGACACTTGGTATCAGAGCATGAGCTCATGAAGCACAACAGGGACATCATGGAGGAGATTGAGCATGGACTCTCCCCATATGACGATGCACCCACGGATGACACCGCCAAAGACAAATCACTGAAGGCCCGAGCACCAATACCTAGCAAGTGTGAGAAATCTACTGACAAGTACGAAGTCGTTGACTTGTGCATGCTACGTTGTGAAGCCACCATATATGAGATGCGAAATTAGGTAGACGAGCTCCATCAAAACATGGAAGCCATGGAGAATGCGTTGGTGAAAGTGGAAAGCCGCCTAAGCGATGTTGTGGACAAGGTATGCAACATACTCAATGGCACGCTCAAGGAAGTTTGTAGCACCACGTGCAAATATCATCAAACTCGCACATCCAAGACAAACTTGATAGTCTTCAAACCTAACTCGATGAAATGAAAAGCGAGTGGGCAACATGGAGGAGGACCATATCCTCCCCTATGACCATCCAGCCCCAAATAAATTAAATTAAAGAAGAGTGGGCTGTCATGAAGTCATACTTGTATACCTCCTCCAATGTCCAAGTTCAGCTAGATAAACTCAAGGTAGAGTGTGCAATCCTGAAGAGAGCCGTTGTTAATCCAACCAGCACCTCCACTATGCACACTCCTTCACACATCAGGATTAGGGAGCTAATCCCCTATCATAAAACATGCAATACACATGAGCTTGACAATTTTCTATGGCAGATGGAACAATATATTGCAACAACCAACATCAATGATGAGATGACCCAGGTACACACAACTACAAAATGTATTTGACTGATGTTGCCATGTTGTGGTGGCACATAAGATGTATTAACATTGAACGAGGTACGTGCACCATCAACACTTGGGTCGATTTCAAGCGATAGTTGAAGAGACAGTTCTACCCATAGAACATGAAGTTATTTGCTCGTCGAAGGATGAAGTCCCTCAAGCACGGTGACTCCCACCACAACTATGTCAAGGAGTTAACGACTCTTGCCTTGGAGATCACCAACATGTCTAATAAATACTTTTTTATTCAACTTCATGAATGGGCTACAACCATGGGCGGAACTAGAGCTCCAACAAAGAGGTGTTCAAGACCTTGCAACTGCCATGGCAGTGGCTGAACAACTCGATGGAATGATACTGTCGAATGATGAAGCTGCTAAGCCTGCTAGTCCATGCACCTCAAATTTTAGTGGGGGAGACAAGCAATCGAAGTCTCCATCGGATAAGCAGCCTTACCAACATCAGCCACCAAAGTACCAAAAGGAGAAGCAACCACATGGAAATTGAAGCTCTTACAACAGCATATACCCAAGGAGACCAACCCATCATCCCATGTGCTACATTTATAGGGATGAGCACTTGATAAAGTATTGCCCAAAGCAAGAGAAGCTAAATGCTCTTATTGCCAAACTTAGTGATGATGAGTAGAGCAATGGGGAATGGAGTGCCCAGGCACCAAGAGTGGATGCCCTTCAACTTTTTAATGGCATGATGAAAAAATGGGCTACCTCCAAGTAGCCCGTCACAGTCAAGAGAGGGCTATGTTGACATAAACCTTGGCGGGAGGCCAACCAAGGCCCTAATTGACACAAGGGCCACTCACAAACTTCATATCAATTGCATAGGACAATAAACTTAACTTGGCCATTTCAAAGGAGCCAATGTGGTTCAAAGCTGTCAATACAGGTACTAGACCAATCAAACAAGTCAGCACCTGGGATGGAGAGATTGATCTTTCTGTCATTCACATGAACGATTTTGATGTGGTCCTAGGCATGGACTTTATGCTATAGGCAAAGGTGGCACTAGCTCCACATATCAACACCATACTTATCATAGATGATCGTTCACATTGCATGGTTACAATGATTGCATGCAATCGTTGAGCAAATCATCCTTAGCACTTCAGCAGCAACCGCCACCACACCTGCCTTCAATCATCAAGCTCAATAGAAAACTCAAGCCGCCACCAACAATGATCGCACCTACTACTATGTCAATTGGGGAGAGCGAGTGCAACCCAATCATATTAGGGTCTACACCCTTGCCTTGCCTCAAACCAATCACCACATTAAACCTGCGAGGAATTGTCATTGGGATAACATCCATGGGAACCAATACCCCAAACATCTAAACCATCATTTTGACCCAACATTGGCCTTAACTTTTCATACCATTCAAACTGGAACGCCTGATATCTTACATTGAAGCAGCCAATAAGGGACATTCTTTGGGACTTAGCTATAGGTTTTCCCAACACGATGAGCATCTTCAAGCTGTCCACCCAACCCTATGCCCATGCCTTGGAAGAAACATAGTTCATGAAGCAGTCAAAGAATCCTCCTTTTCCAACAGTGGATCTATACAACAAGCAGATGCCAATCTTCGAGGACGATGACTAAATTGAATGGGGAAGATTATCACAATTGAACTCTTCACCATGCCCACGAGTGCCATTCACCATGCCTGCAGCACACCTTCAACATGTCATAGGTGTGTCTTGGGTGGGGCTATTTATGTATTTTGTAAGGGGGGATTGCCAATGGCAATACTATAATTATATAGTATGATTTTTTTTTCACCACTTTGATGTTTCATTGTGTCACTCCCCCAAAAGCTTAATTTACTCTTTGAGGGGAGATAGGTAGTCGAGTGTGCCAATATTGTGTAAAGGTTAAGTACGGGGTCCCCTTGATACAAACTTGTGCGTTTGTGCTTGCCATTCGTCTATGCAATACAAGTAGCATTTTTTACTAATTAGTTTGCATTATTTGTTGCCTTTTGTGTGTTATTACTTGCTTTCATAGGCATACTTGACCCAATTAAGCATTGTGTGGGGCCTCGCCGACTAGCCCTGTGACATTGTGGTTCTATGGGAATCCAACACCTTAATTGGAAGGTTGCCAATTGCTAGGTGAATATTGACTAGTGCGGTTTTTAGCACTTGGCATATTGATTTTTAACTTGTGAACAAATAGACCAACTGAGGGCTGGTTCGTTGGTGTGTTAGGTGGTTTTGTTCTAGCGTCAACGTAGAACAAGGGGGGAGTTATTAATGGTGCATGGCACCCAATAGAAAAAAAAAACTGAACAAATAGAATGCCTTTAAAAAACAATCTAAATTGCTATTCACCTCTCTCCCTCCTCTCTCTCCAAGTTAAAGCTCAAAGCCTACAAAATTGTGTTTTATGTAACGACAATCCAAGCCAATTAGAACATTATTTACACACATGTATATTTGAACTATACATGTTCATGGGATGGGCTTCTGGGCCCACAAGCCTACAAAATTGTGTTTTATGTAACAACAATCCAAGCCAATGAGAACACAATATTTACACACATGTATATTTGAACTATACCTGTTCATGGGTCGGGCTTCTGGCATGAATTTATACTGTATCGGCTCACACTTCGGGGTAGGCCCATTCAAAATTTTGGGAAGAGGCAAGCATGAACCTAGTACATGAGTATATTTAATTAAAAGAGATGGACTAGAAATGTAAATGGGTCGGGTTAAATAGTAAATCCGACTTGACCCAACCTTGTAGGGTAAGGTTAGGGTCAATATATTTGGTTTTAGGGTTAGGTTAGGGTTTTGATTATTCAGCCCGAATTGGGTTCGGGTTTTGGCTGACCTGCCTCGCTAGGTCATGATACCCTACATATATACAAAGTATTATTGTAATTTTTTGAATTCTAACTCTATATCTTTAAAATTTAAGATTTATTTACATATTGATTTTGATTTTTTTAATGGAAAAGTGACATCTTAAATTATATAGAACAATTATCTAACTTAAATTAATGGATTTTAGGCATTCAAAACATGTCAAAAAAATATAATTGAAATGCTACGAATCAAGTTGGGTCGGGTTAAAAAATTATGTGTTTTTAAGGCTAGGTTAGGGTTGAGGCAAACCCATGCCAAACCCGACCCATTGACATCTCTAAGATGGACTAAGGCTGTATTTGGTGCCACATTAGTGTTTCAGAAACTGTTAATTAATTTGTAATTTGGTTGGCTGATTTATAAGAAATCAGCAAATTGGTTAGAAATTAATTATAAAAAATGGGGCTGAAAAAGGAGGAATTGCCATTTTCCATGATTTATCTATTTCAGGGTTATGATTTATTGAATGACGTGGCATCTGGATAGGAGAAATAGTTCTTATAAAATTAAAATCATTATTAATAATTATTATGAAACAAAACTCAGTGTATTTCTCACGAATTGGATGACATGACAACAATGATAAACAAACAATTTCTCTGATTCGTGAGACATCAGTGATTTGCAGAAATCTCACAAGAGGATCATTATCCATTCCAAACACCTTATGGGTTTCGACCCGATTTGCCTTAGAAATGCATCTTCACTTAAAGAGGCCTAAGAACAAGAGCCTTTAGCATGTAGCGGCCACATATGCGATTTGACATCTGCCCCCCATAAAATGTTTCTAAAAAATGTTTTACAGTACAATCCAACCGTGTATTGGAACATCTCCACATGACAAGTAAGGGACATGATGTTTAACTCATGCGACTTTTCCTGTCTTACTAGTTACTAGCCATCATTATTACGCAACTGCTTTGTTTCGGTTGCCTTAAAGAAGTTATTGGTAGAGGCTTGTCCGGAAAGCCGCTTAAACAGCTGTACGATGATTAAAATTGGCTCTCCGGATTTTTCATCAAACATTATTTAAATGCTTTTCGTGTGGGCCCCACATCTTAATTCTAAAATGTCCCCGCACGAAATCCTCAAATCCCTCCCAAACCGCGCATCGGTCACTGCAGATCCAACGTTTCAGCTCCAGCCAAAGAGCCCCGCCCAAAACCCACCGCTGGTGACTCCGACACTTGCCTAAGCTGCTTCTCGCTCTAGGAGGTTAATTCCACATAGGTAGGCTTAAGAATTTCCTCCTCTTTCTCCGAACGCTTCGCCGTCTCATTCCCTTACTCCTTCCGCGCTTTCCGCGTCAACCCACGTTATCGTTTTGTTCATTTCCCGCGCTCCTTTTCTCGGATTTTCATTTTCCCGCGCTTTGTTAATTTCAGCAGAAGAGCAGCATCAACAGCTGCAATTAGCCAGTGTTTGATTTCCATACGCTACTTCTTCCTGTATAATTGAAACCCTAATTTCAGAAATGCAATTCTTCCGTTATTCTGTTTGAGCTAGATTTTTTGTTCGCAGAACCCTAGGGACTTTCTCCCTCAGTTTTTTCAGCATACACTGCGCTATTCTTCATTTCACATGTTTTTTCAGTATTACTTTTACAGGGGTTGAAGGAACTTTCATGTTTCGTTTTCAGGATGTACATAAAGCAGGTAATCTTAGCAGATTACTTATGCAGTTTGTTTGCGTTAATTGACTTTCATGTTAGTTATTTGCTGAATTTGTTTTAAATTTCGAAAACCAGGTTATCATCGAGGGCTTCAAGAGTTACCGAGAGCAAATTGCTACAGAACCATTCAGTCCAAAAGTTAATTGTGTAGGTAATGATTTTGCTCTTCTTCATTATTGTTCTTATTTCTTAATTTACATAAGCATGCTAGTGATGTCCATATAAATGTTGGTTCTTTAAGTATTCCAATGCTATTGGTGTTATTGTTTATGTTCTTCTGACATGACTGGTGTTGCAATGTTTCCATAGTTGGAGCAAATGGGTCCGGGAAGACAAATTTTTTCCATGGTATGTAACCTAGAACTGAACAGCATTCGATGTTTTTTTTTTTTTTTTTTAATTTACCTATCTTAAAATCCAAAGCAGAGAGACTGGTTTAAGATTAATTCGTATTTCGTGGTTTTTCCTCCTTAGCAATACGTTTTGTACTCAGCGACCTTTTCCAGAATCTTCGCAGTGAAGATAGACATGCCCTTCTCCATGTATGTATTGCTCATTGAATTATTTATTTCCTGGATGCCCTGTCTGTTCTTCTGTTATTTCATAGATTCTTGGTGCTAATATCCATACTTGCTTTTGAATATCCAATTGAATAGGAAGGCGCAGGTCACCAAGTGTTATCTGCTTTTGTGGAGATAGTGTTTGACAATTCTGACAATCGCATCCCTGTAAGACCTCTATTGCCACTATGTTTCCTTTATTTCATAAATGTTGATCTTAATAGTTCTTACTAGGGGTGTCCATGAAAAACCAAAAGACCGAACCAAACCGAGAAAACCGAACTGCAAAATGCGGTTAACCGAACCGATCGGTTCGGTTTCGATTCAGAATTTTTGAAAAACCAAAGATTTTCGGTTAACCTACAAAAAAACGGCGGTTAAACGAACCGACCGGTATATATATTTATATGTATATTATATATATTTTGAACATATGTCACATATTTTCTATATATTATATGTAAATATATATATTCATTATATATAAATTTATACTTATATTATATTTATAATGATCTATTTATAAATATACTATGTATATTATATATTTTTAAATTATTTATAATATATTATATGTTATTTATTATTTATAATATAATATTATACATATATTTATATAATATATATTATAAATATAAAAAACCGAAGAACCAAACCGGTCAAAAACCAAAACCGGTGGACTGGTTAACCAGTGGTACTGGTTTGGAGAAATGGAAAAACTGGTACCACCGGTTTGGTTTACAAAAAAAAGGCCATGGTTAGGTTAACTAAAATGTGGACACCCCTAGTTCTTACTGTCTACCAGGAACTTAATGTGTTCATTTAAACAACTAAAATGTGTTATTTTCGTGCTCTCTATGCTTTCTTCATGAAAATTGAAATATTTCCATTTTCAATTATCTCTCTCTCTCTCTATCCCCCACTCCCTCCCTACCTCTTTCTCTGTTAATGAATACTTAGGTTGTGTTTTGTATACTTGTTTCTACTTGAAAGGTTTTGGGTTGATCAATATGAATTAGTGAGAGATATGTTTTGTTGTCACATCACATATAAGAGTAACTTTAGGTAGACTGATTAGGTTTTGTCCCCATTGAGCAAAGAGTCATACATTTTTAAGGTACGCCTGTTTTCAATTTCAACTATAAACAGCCTCAAATAACAGTTGTATGCCAATTTGTATTGATCAACTGAAACATTTTGGGTAGAAAGAGCAATGGTACCAAACACAACCTTAATTGATAGTGCCTAAAATTTACATACGAGGATGTAAAAAAACAAAGCAAAAATACTTTAAAGCCCCATCTCTCAATAACAAAAATTCATGTAGGCATTGAGCTTTATACCCTTCCCACACCCGGATTGTCTAGGCCATTAACGGTAACATTTATATCCTTAGGTATCCACTTGAGATGAACTGGAAACAAGGAGAGAGTGTTTAATCTCATTTAGGTAAAGATCAAACTTCCAAGGGTGTAAATCACAATCCATGCACTGGCTCATGGTATTAGATGAATTTCCTTTAACCAAAGCATTCCCTTAGTGAAGTAAACATGTGTAGTTTTAAGCGTTCTCAAATACTTTTTCCTTGGGGGCTGTTTGATAATGGGTGAAGTGGCTGAACTGAATGACTTATTGCTTTGTCTTTTAGTGGACACTCTAATTAAATGGATATAGTACTTAAGGTTATGCTAATCAACCCAGCTTTAGCTTCAGCCATTAAAGAGCTCATAACCTCCTTAATAATTTCTTCACTAACAATTATAAGACAAATAAAAAGCGGAAGTTTTTGATTAACTTCCATGATTACTGGGAGGTTGTGGTTGAAAAATGATTGGAGTGCAGATAGGGCGGTTCGTAAAGTTACTGAGAAGGTTGATGCCTTCCCAGTTTTAGGGTAATGCAAGTGCCAAGTTAACCATCCATTTTTGGCTGATATAATGGGAAAGTTCATTAAATATATGAGAAATGTGAAAGTAAAGGAGGATGAGACATTGTCCACATGATTGTGGATATGTATACAAAAACACAAAGGCTCCATTTATTTGTAGTGCAATTTCATTTATGACGCAAATGCATTAGTGCACATGAGAAGAATGCAGGTTCTGGTTCACTTAGCTTGCTTCATGTTTTTCCCCTGCTTCATCTATGAATGCAAACAAACAAAATAAGGCAAAAGCTGAAACAACAAAAATTGCAATTTGCATTCACATATTTTTTTGATAAATGATTGAAATAAATATCAGAAATACAAGCAGCCTAGGAAGAGGCACGAGATGTTACCTCCCCCAAGTACTGAATCATAAACACTAAACATGCCCAAACCTGAGATACAAATTACAAAGTAGCCCAAAACAGATCACCCCTTGACACCCCTTGCTTGGCCAGAGAATCAGCCATTGCATTTACTGATCTGTTAACCCACTGGAACCTAACAGTTGTGTTTCTTGTCATCCATTTAACTTTCTTTAACAGATCCCTATAGCCCCAACAAACTGTGTCTGGGCTATTCAGCCAGCCCACTACTAAGGAGACTACTAACAAATTGTTCACTCCTAATTGACTAGCCATCTGTATACCTTGTACTGCTGCTAGTAGCTCTGCCCTTACAGAATCACCTTCATCCACTGGTCCTGAGAAAAGAGACAACATATTGCTGTCTTTATCTCTCAGAATTCCACCAATTCCAGATGGCCCTGGGTTACCTTTGGCAGCTGCCATCAAAATTCAATTTTACCACTCCATCCGGTGGGGGTTTCCATTCAACTTGTAATTTGTTCTTGGTGGAGACTGTAGAAGCCACTGCTTCCCAATTTCTCCTTAAGTCATCAAAGGAGAAATCTACCAACAATTGTGAAGATTTCAGCCATGAAATTGTCTTTGCCAATATACATTCCTTGACTTCAGCAAGACTTATTTCCTTTTCTTGAAATATTCTAGCATTTCTCTCCTCCCATAAAATCCACAAGGTGGTGGCTTTGATACATTTCCACATTATTTTCCCTCTTTTTGTCAATCTCCCAAGAGTAGCCGGAGTGAACAATAGCTTTACTTCAGAGGGCAAGTTTCACCTGCACCCAAATAAAGAAACAACCCAGTTCCAAATATTGGCAGTAAAGAAGCACAATATCAACAAATGGTCAGTCCTCACCCTTCACTTTACACATAAAGCACCAATTTGGGGACAAACACAAAAGAAGTTTCTTCTTTTGCAAGTTTTCCACAGTATTGATCTTACCATAATAGGCTTCCCAATAGAACATTGCTATTTTGGGGGGTATTGGCCTTGACCAAACCTCTTTAACAGGGAAGATCTGAGAGGAAGGGTTAGAGCAAAGGGCTTTAAAGAAAGATGCTCAAGTGAAAGAGCCAACCGGGTTTATAGCCCAGACTCTTTTGTCTGGGTTAGTGGGGTCTAGGCACACTAAATCTAGAAGCAACAACAACTCTGAGGCACAATGAAATTCTTCATCCCATAACCCTCTCCGAAACCCAAAATCCCAATTTAAAGCCAAAGGGAAAACCGGGGGGGGGGGAGGAACCAAGAAATGGGTTTCTTTTTAAAGAGGGAGATGGAATAGAGAGAAGGGAAACAGTCTTTTAGGGGTTGAGTGCTCACCCAAGTATTTTATTCTTTCTAATCATTGTTATCAAATCAGGTTGCAGTTCTGAGTTTTCTACTTGGTATTAGAGCCACTTTACAAGATTTTTGAGTCTTCCATCATGCATCCCTAGATCAGCCAATTGCATGGTGAGTTACAGATCTGATCGAAGACTTCAAAAGGTCCCAAATCTTGGATTTTTTTGGTGGATCTAAAACTCCTTGTGTCAGATCTTGGGTTGATCATCATAATCAGGAAGGATTGGAGAAGGAGGAAGAATCTTGATTGTAGTAGGGCTCTTTATTTTTGACGTAGGAAAGGGCACTCAAGATTTTTTAGGCTTCTTGGTGTTTTCTGAAAGGAGCGTTTCAAGTTTTGGAGCTTTTTGAAGTCTTTGGAGGGAACGAAAACCTTTTCTCCTATTTCTATTAGCTCACGCAAAGATAAGAATCTCTCTGGGTAAAGGTATCTGGGTACTAGAAGGTAGGTTAAGGTCTTTAAAGGGGATAAGCTATTTTTTTTTGTTTTGTTTACAATTGATTTTCTAAACTGCTCTAGGAATTATGGAGGGCAGTGGAGTTGAATACAACTCTATTGGTGAAATGGAACTAGGTGGAGGAGGTGCTGGCGATCCTTTTGGGGTAGGACCATCACTACAGTTAAGTTGGATGGTACAAACTATTTGGAGTGGTCACAATTAGCCAAAATGGCCATGGGTGCTCGTGGAAAATTGGGATATGTCACTGGTGAAGCGAAGAATGACCAATTTTGGGAGCAACCTTGGGTTGGGGATTCATCCCTGATGGACCAATTTCCCTCTTTGTATGCTTTGTCAGATTTGAAAAATGAACCCACTTCTTTCTTAGTTGCTTCATAATCTACTTCCGGCTTTTTGGGTGGAATCTAGGGTTGAGAAGGACAATCAGAGATACAAATTTGGGTTGTATTTCGTTTTTTCTAGCCATCCTTGAAAATGTTTTCCTGGACCCGAGTAAGGATGACTCCAGAATTTGGACCCCCTCCTCCTCTGGCTCCTTTTCTTGTGCATCGTTTTTCGAGACTTTGTTCCAACCTCCTGCTCCCTTTGGGTTGTCCTTCCTTGTTAAAGAGATTTGGAGCAAACCCATTCCTCCTCGAGTTGGTAGTTTTTGTTGGGAAACTTTCCTGGAAAGAATAAACACAAATGACTTGCTTCAAAGAAAGATACCCAATTTCTGTTTACTTTCTAATAGGTGTATTCTTTGCAAAGCTGATGGGGAAACAAATTACCACTTTATGATTACTTGTTTGGTTACTAAAACTGTTTGGGAGTGGGTTTTTTCCCTTTTTGGATGTACTTGGAATCCCCCCGTGAGTGTGCAAAGCTTGTTCTCTCCTTTGTTCTCAAGATGGCCTAAGAAAAGAGGGAAGGTCATGTGGAGAAGCATTAGGGCGACAATGTGTTGGTCCATATGGGAAGAGAGAAACTCACAAATTTTTTCAGACAAGGAAAGAACCATGGAAAACTTAGTTGAATTGATACACCTAAGGGTAGTTCACTGGCTGAAATCTATGGAGCTATTCTCAGAT